CCCACCCNCCAAAAAAAAAAAATTCATCGCAGCCCCCCACCTGCCTCATCGCAGCCCATCCCCCCCTCCTTCCCTGATTCCTCCTCCCTCCCTTCCCCGACACCAACCTCCCCCACACACTACCTTTTCCTCCCTCTCCCTGCCTCTTCATCGCAGCCCTCCCTGCTCCTGTTCCTGGACTATAGCCCCCTATCATCCCTCTTTCCCAACCACCTAGCTTAACAGGAACCCAGACTCCCAGCGACAAGTCACCCAACCAACACTCCCAAAAAATTGGGTATCCACCGACAGCCATCCAACCACACTCCTCTCATCCCCCAACATGCTCCTTTCATCCTCCTCCTTCCATGTTAATATTTTTATTAATACATGTGGATTTAGTATCTGTTAGTATTTGTCATTAGTACTTTAAATGAATGCAACTTTGATGTGTTATTTTTGTTTTAGTTTATTTTTATCAATCATGATTTATAATTTTTAAAATAAAATATTCGAGAGCGCCTCCTTATGCTCAGGTGAGCACCTAGCGTCTTGGACATTTTGGCACCTTGGCGCCAGCGCCTTTGATTACACTGACAAAGGGTCAGTTATTTCCTTTAAGGGTATAATTATCATGTGCATTTACTTCAATATTTTGTTTAAAAGGAAGAAAATAATAACATAATCTTCTTATTGTATAACAAGATGATAGAAGTCTACATTTCTTAATTCTGAAGAGAATTTATAATCAACATCTGCTTGTTGTTTGCATTGTTAATTTCGGTGATCCAAGGTTCCTCATACTGCAAGTGCATAAAAACACTTCTACGATAAGAAACAGTTGAATGGTAAACTTATCTATGGGATCTCTAACCTAATCTATTGCATTAAAAACAAGTGTAAAGATTTTACCTATAAATTTAGCAGCCATTAGATGTGACAAGTGATTCCCACTTAAAGATAAATTGCATCCACAATTTTAGAAACACCTGGTCCTTGTACTTTGAAGCTTGTATTAGTTAACTCGCCATATATTAATATAAGGACTCGAAAGATTTTCTATATACTGTCAATTATGCAGCTAATATTGGAAAAATATTATCCCAAACTCCAGAAGTTATAAACTTCACATGCCAACCATGCTCAGTAACAGTTGCAAAATTGCATTTTTATTACATTTATGCACATAGGATTCTTCATAATTACGGTTCAAATAAGAACAACAAAAACAATGGAGAAAAGGGCAATATGATCAGTAGAAAAATTAACATGAATTATATCCTCTAGCATGAGAAAAAAGCCATAAACTGCACATACCTGAGTTCACGTTCTTCTGCTTCAGTCAACTTTACACCCTCAAAAATATAATCATGGTCAATAATTTCATCCCTGCAGTAACAGCATACCAAACAGATTCAGAGTATCAATCAGATAACACGTAAACATGAAAAAGCAAAAGTGTTGAGCAAATCAAATCCAATAAAGAATATGAACGTTATCATACATACCGTAGTTCCACAAGCTTCTGGTCCCTTCTTTTCTGCAAATATACCTGCCTTGAAACTTTCCTGGTATAAGAAAAGCAGACATCAGAGACTAATATGGAGATTATTTAGCTTTAGATATATGAAAAGTTGAGAAATTTGTTAAAAGCAAAAATGTGAAATGTAATTATTTGTCTATTTGAACTTCCTTTTTGTTAAGTTTAAGGGGTAGATTCAAATAATGTTAAAGATACCTTCAAAACAAACTCAACCTCACATATTTGTGGATCTACTGATGCATTTCTTTTGGATCTTGGCATCAGTGCGCAAAGGAGTATAGAAGAGCCTCCCTTCCAATGTGGTTAACTATAACCGCTTTTAATTTAACTCATAGCTAGGACTTTCCACAACATTATATACAAGTTTTTCACCTAATTCTCTATATTTATAACTAAAAATTACTTCCATATACCACAACCACCCTGTTCTCTTCTCCCCTTGGTCCCTATGGTTGAGCCTGCCTTCTTTCATCTAACCGCACGTAAAGTTGTGCACGCTCCTTCATTATTGTATATCTCCCCGGAGATTCAGGAAAGAGCGCAGACCACATTAGAGGGTGAAGTGCTTCAATGCGCAGCGAGAGATGGACCGAGATAGGAGCTAATAGGCAAGCCTCTTGTAGTAAGACAGATATGCATGTGGTAGAACTGTTGACAGAGTGGTCCAGCGGAGACCTTTAGGGACGGTCCTATTTCTGCACGAATCCAGAAGAACGATATGATGTTAATGAATAGAGCCTTTATATCAATAAAGCTTCTTGGCCCTTGTTTCAGCGATCAATGACCCTGTAACAGTGAGAGGAGGTGTCCCGCAAAAAAGGAATGGTAGGGTGGGTAGGTCAGAACTCAAATCGTCTTTGTTCCGGTTGTCTATCCGCTTTTTCATTGTGAAATACTTATGATAGGTTTTTCAAAGTCACATTAAGTATAATCAATCGGGGTACCTTCCTTATCGATAACTTAAGGGTGTCGGCTAATAAATCCACTTTCTCCAATTTCTTAATAGATCTCCACTTTCTCCTATTTCTTAATAGATCCTTTATCCTATTTATATAATGAGTGGTTTTTCTCTTTTTTGCCCCCTTTTGAATAAGCTACTGCTGCGGGTGGTAGGGACTCAATGAACAAAATCTACCAATAATTTGACAAAACAAAACTGACAGACAAATGCAAAATATAATTCAGCCATAGAAGACCAATGCAAAACAAATATAAGTGCAAGAATAAGAACCTTAATTCTGAAGTATCATCATCCTCCAGAGCCTTGAACCTCCGAATCTGATCCTCTGTAGAAAAAAATAAAAATTAGATGTAATACAGTTTCCTTAAAGCAACTTGAGTAACCAATGAAGGGAACTAACCTTCCTCCTCCTTGGTTAACTTTGGCTCTGTCAGCTATTAACAAAAAAAGATTTAAAAAAAGATTAGAAAGATATTAAAATGAAACCAAGCATTTCACATGTTGGAGGAAAACAAAAGAACTTGATAACAAGGAAAAAATGAACACAGTTTTTTTAAGAGCAATGAAAAAAAATACAAATAGAAACTCTAGAACTTCCAGGTACATAACATAGTTATTGGAGGATATAAAATAAACTTAGGTACCATATTATTAAATTATTGGTCTAAATTTGAGTAGTTATGAAAACAAATTTTCCAATTCAGACAAATCAGTTTTATGTGTACTTATTTCAATAGATTAAAGTTAAGAAAAAAAAACCCAAATTAAAACCACAGACACACTATGGCTTAATTGAGTAAATGATTCACAACTAAGATAATATATAAATGATATTTCAAGCACTTAGATCTCATCTTTCGTAATTGATTTATAGAGATTAATTGAAAAGGATGAAGAAGTATATACCTTCATCACCAATGAGGAAAATTTTAGGCCATTTAGTTCCATCCATTCTACAACTTTTAATAACTACACCTTTTTAAGCATTTAAAACCAGCAATCATAAAACAATTCTTGTATCAAGAAGTAACAAGGTTAACAACATTGAATATTTCATGATGAGGTTATGATCCACAACGTTATATCATAAGCACATACAGAAGTAACACACAAGACAAAGATCATCTGAGAAAGATATTGATTCACATATATAAATTGTATTTTGGCAACATGGTGAAAGTAGCAAAACTAAACCCCAGTGAATTTCCTTACCTTCCGAGTCCCCGCTGCATCTCTTTCTCTGATATTCTTCTCCAATTGTGCTCTTTCTTCTTGATCACGTCTTCTCTCTTCTTCTGACTGCATAATGATGCATTCCGCAATAAACTTTAAATTCATGGCATCACATTGAACAAGATCATGCTAAGAAACATTCATGGCAACTCTTTCTGCATGAAGAGATAATGCTGCATACAATAATTGACAGAACAATATAGTGATAATAGCCGCTAGAACTTGGATACCCATCTAGTATAGGGATAAACAAGTCAAACAGATGTCCGTATGAGAGTCTAAACATATAGTTAACAAAAAATTACAAGTCCAAAGAATAGCTTAAACAGTGTCAGCCAAATAATCCCACATTTAATGTGGTAACTGGTGTGTCACAATGTCTACTCTAAAGCACAAAGCTATTTGCATAACCTTTCAGCCAACGTTATCAGTTTACCATCAAGTGCTTGATATTTGAGCAGGTTTAATCATTGATCACAAACATCACAATTCATTGTAAAACAAAAGTCTTTTCGGCCTTAACTTTGAAGTCGGTTCATGTTGATGACTTAAATTTGGGCAATAAGATATAATCTAAGTTTAAAAAAGCTGGCAAAAAATAGAGTAGACTATCAGTGTTTGGACAAACTAATTTTTAAAAAATATTAAATTTGGAGAACATCAATGTTACGGAAACAAATTAAAAATATTAAATTTGCAAGGGGTTTCAAGATTAAGTGATCATGAAAAATATATGGCACCTTCAACTATGTAAGTTAAAATCCTCCAAGAAACACTTGCAATAATCTTGTTCCATATTAACATGACACAAACTATTCCTCGTTTCACATTTTCCATCAACATATATGAAACTTCAAACGGACCTATACTTTCAAGAATATAACTACTTGCTTCTCTAATATAAACACCTATCACCAGAATTCTTTATGTTTCATAACTATTCTAAATATATATATTTTGGTAACATATGACCAAACTCTACAAAAAATCCTCTCTGTTGTCACATGAAATGCATTATGACATTTATTAACATTGATCACCGCACAAGAAAGTCTCTTTTGATGGTAGCTTACCAGCAACTAGCATGGGTTGAAGTTTCTGCAGGCACAGATCATGCCTAACAATAGCCAAGCTACCAACCACGATACATTATGGGAAAGACAAGTTTTGCCATGTTTCAACCGGCATGCAGGCCATGCTAATGGTAATATGCTGCATAATGCTATGATGACAAAACATAATTATCTACATCTCAAGATAAACATATAAAAATTTGCAAAGTTAAGATACTTGTCAAACATACCACCAAAATGGTACTGATCGATCCTAAGTATCCAACCCAAGTAGTTTTCATCATCCCAAAAATATATTATACTTCATTGTGATTTGCAAGACACCAAAGTAGTTGTTTCCTATGAGAGTAGTTTGTCCCAGTCATCTTGCATTAGTATAACCAAGTAGAACTGTGGATATTTTCCAAAAAGGATATGTTGAGAGCATTTTAACTAATTTATTTTGAATTATAATTCTTGGGTAATATGTGATAATCTGATCAAATAGAGCCACCATCATTCATAGAAATTCAAAAAAATTCAGAAGATAATAATTCCCTCAAAGCATACCTCAACCTCATCATCATCTTCATCTACCTTTGATGTACGACTTCGAACCTGTCGGTCATTCCCTTCTTGTCTAATAACCTGCAGTATAGCATTAAGTCAAAAACAAAAGTAAGAAACCATTAGAAGAGGCGTCAACCTGAAACTTACCACATGAAAAATAAAGTGGAAAAAAAAGAGTAATATAATGCCTCATCATCTTCAACATCATCGGTCTGGCTCTTCTTTCTAAAGCGCTTTCGGTGAGAACCCACTTTCTCCATCTGAGAATCTACATGATTGGCTGGTGCATGGCTGTCTATGTCCTCATCATCAGCATCCAGAAGTTTGTAGCTCCTCTGTTTTTTTGCAAATTGAGTTGCTTCCTTTTCAGCTTTCTGATAATTCTGAGACAAATACATACAAGCAATCAATTGAAATTATAATTTACAGCCAGAACTTATTCTGTCACTGCAAGTATATAGAATGAAAATAACGTAAATCAATTTTAAAAGAATGTGCATATTCTTATAGGAGCTAGCAATCATTACAGTTTGAATAATAAAGATGCAAAGAACTGCTAAAACTAAAAATAAACATCAATGAAATTGACAACAAAGAATATAGTCGAGTAAACCGTGACATTAAATGGACTGCATACAGTTGTCATCCATCACCAGAACAAATCATGAGAGAAGGAATGATCAAAAAATACTGAAACCGGTTACTAGGCTTGATCAAAAAATACTTGCCAGCATGATACTCATCAACATCAGCTTTTGTTTAATAGTCTTTAAATGTTTAAATGTTTAAAAAAGAAATTAATCCATCACTACACTAATAATGTACAAAGTGACCAACTAACAGACCACAAAAATGTTTATACCTGTAGCAGAGAGCACAAGACAACTACAGACTGCCACGGCACTAAAACCTGTTCATGTTTCCTTATGTCCCAACAACCATGTTGTCAACCCATGTATCCAACTCACTACTCTTCATCAACCAGCATCGCAATAATAATTTACTATATATTAGTTTTAAAAGATATAAATTTTATACTTACCTCAAAGACCACGTAATAACTTAAACCCAAAACCAATATTTACAATGGAAGTATTGAGTTACCCTATCATCAAACAATCACAGGAATGTTCACCATTTTCTCATTGTAAAAAAAAAAAAAAATAATTAACAAAATATTCTACTCTCTTAAACGCATTGTGCTGATCAATTTTGACAAAGAAAAAGCTCAAGAGTCCATACTTTGAGTAGCTATAAGCACTTTCCAGCACCTACTGAAAGATGAACTTGCAAACAGACTAGTCCTTTTTTCCTACTGCATTGTGATAAAACTCCTTAACAAGAACAAATTTTGATTCACTTTAGCTAGTTTCTTTATATCATTGCATGCACTATGAAGCAATATCACCCGTAAAGCCAGATGAATCTTTAGGCGCATATCTTCCATATAAATTTACTTTTGACAATCACCATCCAAAACAAAACAATGGCAGAAGTGGCAGGAAAGCACAATCCAAGCTCGAGTTACATGAGAATTCAAGAGAACTCACGCTAGGACCAGTCTTCTTATGTGGAACTTTTGCATATATCTCTTCAGCAAAGGAGCGAGTTTCTGTTGACGAAGAAAACCCAAACTCTACGAGTTTACACATAAGATCGGCAGGCGAGGGTGACTCTTTAGCTGTCAATGCATAAAAGAAATATATGTTCATTGTCTTTTTGACAAAACAAAAGGAGAAGTCTAACAGAAAAAACATCTAATTCATGCTTACATAATCTAATGACATACTGAACAACTACACCCTTGGAGTAACCCATCAAAGACATAAGCTTATCTGAGACCCATGTCCTCAAGTAGCTTTCATCCGCCATCTTCCTCCAATTGTGCAAGCTTAAACTAATTATTCGAAGGTAGATACTTGAGGTGGCAAATAAAACGTCTCTTTGGCTTCCTATGGTAAAAAGAAGACAACGGAAGGATTATAACTTCCCTAATGATCAAGCTGAACAGAAAAATAATTGCCATCAATATCCAGAAAACAGGCGATTTATGTACAACTTCTTATAGACAAAAAATTGTTAGGAAGTACATATCCCTTTTCCACTCACTATGAAAAACATTTACCACAGATTGCATGGAGAGTGGAAACATATAAAGTTTGGTGCATCATCCGGAAAACATGTAAAGTTGGTGCTTCCTTGAGATAAAGCATTGGGAATTTGGGATGGGAGGGGAGGAGAGGAGAGGGCAAGAGAACAAGAGAAAAGGGAAGGCGAGAGGAGAAGAGAGAGAAGCGAAGAGAGTGTAGGAGATGTGAGGAGAGGAGAGAATAACACTCACGGGCAAGGGAGGTTGCGGCCTGCAGCAGCAGTAGAGAAGTGCTCCGCCGACGATGTTGGCAGCGGCTAGGGCTCGCGACGCCCGCCCATTGACGACTTCCGTCGAGTTCGTTTTATTTATTGGAATATCAAGCCCATTGACGAGTCGGCTCAGACGAGTCAAACGATTTCACCGAGTCGACTCACGCGTCGGCCCGACCCACTACATTTCCGTTTCGAAGACCGACCCAACTTCACAGGCCTGCTTTGGTCCGTGAAAATAGTACGATTTCCGGCCCAGATCTCAGCCCTACATCAGTTAATTGATCATCCAAAAAGGTTGTACAAAGACGAAGAAAGAAAGGTTCAATAATCTTTTATACGTACATATCCGTTCTTTGCCCAGTTTAAAATAGTGCATTTGACCATATAAATTTTAAGCTAGCACACTTGTCCTCATCATCCCCATGTGAGTTTCTATCATTCGCATCCATGTCAAAATTTCATACTAACCACGAGTTACTAATCATAGTTACATCGCAAAGATTATATCTCCCGGGAAAACAAGATGCCATGGTAAAAGCTTTGTATAATTGTGTCATCGGGTTTCTCGGAAGGCATCTCTTCTTCTTACCGTTCAAAAAAGGACCGACTGTTCAGAATCAGACGCAAGGTGGCACCTTGGTACAGTCACGTAAGCGATGTGTTTCTTAGTCACATGCATGGACGCCATCCACGTTGGACTCCTTGATGAAGACAACACCATCTTCCAAGGCATACATGCCTAGTCAGAAAACAGAAGCAAAACAATTTAAATGAGTAACACAATCGTGCAGTAATACAACACGGTGAATGGGTTCGAATGCCAATTAGGTTCGGCAGAGGGTGATCGACATGATCAATGGACATCAATAGCACATCATGATTGAATTGTAAAGAATACAGTAATCGGTGAAAGGGCAAAATCTTAGCAACACGGAACTGCAGAACTGATTAATATTAAGAACAAGCTTTGCGCACATAGATGATTGCTTTAACGATGACCAGCTTAATCACTTGGAGAAAAAGAACCAAGTCACTCATCCAGGTATTATATGGGAAAAAAGGTCATCGAATCAGGTTGGTTTTTAGGCGATCCTCCTCCACTTCTGCTCAAACGCGCTGCAAATCTTGTTGAAGCAGCATGCCGCACTCAGAGGGTATTCCAAAACTGCAAAACACAAGGGAGTTAGCAGGCTCGATTGTCATACAAAATAAAAGTTTCTATATCATACAGTAATCAGATCTTTTGGAGTCACTTTTACAAACAAAAGCTATATATAATCATAAAATACACAATCACTTAGAATTTCCCCGTGTCTACTGAAGAAAACCAATGTTACAAAAAAAAGCAGCTGCGCTACCACGAAGAGTTATCATATAGAGCATATATATCTCAAGTATGATATCTTACTCGATATAAAATCATCAGCGTATTCCTTATCAATCGCTCAATGAGCCATCGCACCAACCTGAAAGTTGGAACCTTGTGCATCACTTACACGATGTTTATTAAGTTCGATTGACAAAACAAATGATCTAACATTTCAAATATACCATAAAAACAAGGGCAGAATCATCATTAGCAGCAGCAGCTACATAATTACACAAGTTAACCAACCTATCTGAACTAAAGGAGAGTCCTACAAAAGAAAAGGCTTCAAAAATCAAACAAGCAATTATCATAAAGTTGCTTGCAAAGAAGAAACAAAGTTGCAAGTTATCACCTAATTTCTTGGAATTGACAGGCAAATGGCGAGTCACAGAATTCTTTATGACACACAAGTTTCTCCGGCTTCCCGACAGCAATTATACTTGATTTTTGTAACGATTGGGCTGCAGCAATTACAAAAGGGATGTAGATATTTCCACAGATTAAACTGATCAAACCCACACATACAACGCTTGACGGAAAAATAGTGGTAGATCTACTGTACTTACACATAAGACCGCAGAAACGCTTGAAAGTCCTTGGGACGCGGACATATGGTTTGATTTCAAAAAGAACTCCCTTCTCTGTTTTCACATAGACAACCTGCAGCCTACCAGCCTTAAGCTAGGGGGCTATCAAATATCGCGAGAAGTGCCTAACATCATCTTCAAGTTGACAATTTAGTCTGTAAGTTAATGAAGACATAAAACTTCTAATGGAAGATAGGGGCTAAGTCATATACAAATATTTTTAATGTAGTATGAACACAAAATTCAAACAAATGAACTGAAGCAAATGGGCATTTATGATCATTGGAAATTTTCATCTATCAAAGGTTCGATATCACTCACTTCATGGAGTAATCGGAGGAGCACGTCTGGTGAAGAATGATTATGTGTTAGAAAATTACATGGTAGTGCTTTCCAACTCCGAACCAAAAACGTGAATTCCCAAAAAAAAAATGAATGCAAGGATTATATAAAGAGAACATAACTCGAAAGAAACCAAAAGTGTAATGCAAAAAGAGCAAAATCGACACACCTGATGACTGATGTCAGGCCTATAATCGGCAGGATTTCGATTTTGCTTCCTTAGATAATTTGCATGGTCATCTGAGTTCAGGATCTGAAAATTCTGAATACAAAGAAAGAAAAGCTTCTAATTTTCACAGCCGAAGAAACTAACCACAAGGAGAGAACAGAACGAAAAAGTCGGGCGATGTGTGTTATAGACATAATCCATGGAGAACAGCCAAAAAGGAACTTCTTTTTCCTTAGCCACTCGAAAGACCAGGAACGCAGAACTGAAACCCAAGATTCTGACAAGAAAAGACAGTTTAAACCCAAGAAGCTTCGATTGCAAGCAACGTTACTTGTATTCCAAGATTCAACCATAAGAATCTACCCACTTAAACCTATAAATCGCCCATACCCTCTCTTCCAAATACTCCCAACTCCGGAACCACTGATTGCTCGTTCGGGATTGAAAAACCACACCTGTACGAGGATGATGCAAGGTAATAGAACCCTAATTACTTACCCGCAACTAGGAATCATCCATGATTTAGGAAGATATAACAAACTACGAATTCCATCGATCAAATCCATACTTTAACCAAAAACCACAGCACCGGGAAACCCTTACTTGAAACTCTATAGTGAATTCCGCTTACCTTCCCGACTTTGCCAACCTCCAAACACGCCTTCTCGAGAACGAATATGACTCCCGGCCGCTTCGCTCCGTCGACTGGCGCGGTGACCGGGATCCCCGGCTTCTCGTCCACCCCCTGCTCCGCCCTCCTCTCGTCCTCGGGCTCCGCTATCTCCCCTAAGTCTCCGATCCCTTCTTCAACCCCATCGCGTACTCCCTCGTCGAAGACCTCAACCTCCTCCTCCATCGGCGCAGATTCTTCCGCCCTTCTCCTCTTGAGCTTTCGCTCTTCGACTCCATACGGCCGAACCATCTTCCCTCTCGCGTTTCCACCGACAACCGCCGATCGAAGGATGGGGGTTTTGGGGTTTGAAGCTCTACAGTAACATTATAGTTTAACCCCTCAACTTATCGATATTTACGTCAACAGTGTAATTGTAACCCAAAACTCATTTTTATTGCTTCGATTTCTCCGGCATCATAATTTCATCATAGTTACATATGAGATGATACAAAAGCGACGAATCGCAGACACCACCGCATGCATCATTCATAGCAACATTATCGATGGTGTAACTCTAACATCCTTGCCTTTGATCACAGCACACACTATGTAATACAATAACGTTGATTTCAATTTTGCGTACGTCCCTCTCCTTTGTTGACCGTCCATCCGTTGATCTTTATCTTGATTGCCACATACGCTTTATCATAGATTTGATCAATCATTCGAAAATAAAATATCCTCCAATCTTTCTTAAATAGCATGACGATAAACACGCTCCACAGTCCAACCAAATAACCGAACGCGATGCCGAAGTAGAGCGATAGCCCATGAAGTCCTTCTTCCTCGTCCTCCTCATCTGTCGCATTGGTATTTGTCTCATTGAGGCAACTCTTGCTAACCGGAAGCCCACAGAGATACGCATTACCGATGTAACTGGATGCCGGAAGTGTTTGAAGTTGAAAACCCGATGGAATGGCTCCGGATAGATTGTTATAAGACAGATTCAAATGGCTGAGAGAATTCAAAGCTGTCATACTCTGAGGAATAGCTCCGGATAAGTTATTGAATGATAAGTCGAGAGTTTCCAGTGATTTCATTCCGCCAATGGTACTCGGAATCATACCTCCGATGCTATTTCTTGATAGATTTAAAGTTTGAAGTGCGGCGAGGTACCCGATCTCTGTGGGGATTGCTCCGGTCAGAGAATTTTTTGAGAGGTCAATGCTCTTCACGAGATGGAGAATAGACGAAAAGCTTTGTTCGTCTCCCTTTGTAATTAGAGCTATGCTTTCGCTGGCCACGAAAGAGGACAACTCGAAGTTTGGGTCGGACGAAATCGTGGAAGACATCGACTTTGTTATGGAAATTATGGCGCTGAAATTGCCGAAGGAGCGTGGTATGCTCCCTGATAGCTCGTTGTCGGCAAGGTCGATGATTTGAAGATTACTTAGTTGACCAAGCTGTGGTGGAATGTCGCCGGAGAACATGTTCGAGCGTAGCAGAAGTACCTCCAGATATCGAAAGCTTTGTCCGATCCATGCCGGAATCTTGCCCGAAAAATGGTTGCGACCGAGATCGATGACGGCTAACTGGCTACAACTTTGCAACGATGGTGGAAGATCTCCATGGAGGCTGTTGTTGTTCAGATGCAAGAACTCGAGCTTGGTCAAGTTTCCGATGGAGTTGGGAACCTTTCCACCGAGCTTATTATTCGCCAGATTGATAAACAATAGTTCATTTGCCTCTTGCCAACACCGAGGTATTTCTCCTGATATTTGATTGTTCGACAGATCGAGGGCGAAAAGCTGCTGCAAAGTGCAGACGGAGGATGGTACGCTCCCGTTAATATGATTGTTTGAGAAGAACAAGTATACCGACACCGGTGCAAAGGTCGATGGTAGCGGTCCTGAGAGAGCGTTGCTTGATAGATCCAGTGCTTGTAGGAATGGTGGCGAAACAGGGACGAGACCTTGGAGCAGATTAGAGCTCAAATTTAGGAACATCAAGTTGGTCAGACTCTCCAAGGATGCCGGCAGAGTGCCAGAAATCTTGTTGTGGGACAGATTTATGATCATTAAGGAAGAGGAAGAAGAATTCCAGAGCCAGTCGGGCAAAGTGTCCTCGATACTTGTGTTCGACAAATTCAAATCCACCATGGATTCCTGCGAGCGCAGCCATCCGGGAAACGAAGGGCCCAGCTTACAGGAATCCACTCCGATTGTCTCGAGTTGAAAAGGTGGAATCCAATCATGGCCTATTGCGATGTCCAAGGAGTTCCTGTACAAGTATAAGACGTCTAGCTTGGCGAGGTTGGCGAAATGGAGTTCGGACATGGTACCTTTCAGGGAATTGAGAGAGAGATCAAGCGAGGTTAGGTTGGAAAGCTTGCCGATCTCAGGTGGTACGGATCCAGTGAGAGAATTACGACCCAAGTCGAGCGTTGTTAGAGCAGTCAAATTACCGATCTCGGCAGGTATGGGACCAGTGAGTCGATTGCCACTGAGGTGCAGCTCCACGAGACGAGTCAAACTCCCAATCGCAGCAGGGATGCTGCCATTGAGTGAGCAGTTGATCAGATATACCTGTGAGAGACTAGTCCAATTCCCTGCTTCCACTTGCATCGGACCTCGGAACGAATTAAAGCTGAGGTCGATGCTTGATAGACTCCTCGAACTCCAAATCTCCGCGGGGAGAGGACCAGAGAGTGAATTAGCGCTGAGATCAAGCTGGGTCAGACGAGTCAATCTTCCGATCCCAGCAGGTAGCTCGCCATGCAACTTTGAATCGCTAAGAGCAAGGTAGGACAGGCTGCGGAGTTCCAGAAGCCAGCTGGGGAAGGTGGAGTTGAAGACGTTGCCACGGAGATCGAGAATGCTCAACGAGGTGAGGTTGACATGGGAAAGAGAAGAGGGGAGGTCGGTGAGGCCACAGTATGGTAAATGTAGCTCCCGTAGCGACGACAACATGTTCACCGCTTGAAGCCAATCGGGGGAGGCCATGGAAAGGTTCACACTGCTCATGTCGAGGTATCTCAAGGAAGAGAGACGCGAGAGCCAGTGCAGGCCATCGGTCGATAAGCCATACGAATGGAGATCGAGAGAGCGGAGGCTGGACAGGTTGCCCAGCTGGGGCGGAATGGCTCCGCTGAAGTTGGACCAGGAGAGGTTGAGATACGTCAGTTTGGGGAAAGAGCCCAGAAAGGCGGGGATCGGTGACCCCCCGAAGTCATTGTGATTGAGATCCAAGCGATCCAAATGCGTCAAAGAGAGCAAGGACGGACTGATCTCACCCCGCAGCGCCGCCTGATTCGACTCGAAAGTCATGTCCGCCGAGTTCTCAAGGTTGAGCTCCACGACGCGGCCCGTGGTGTTGTCGCACACCACGCCGTTCCATCTGCAGCAGTCTACTCGGCGACGCCACGAGGACAGGCGGTGGGACGGATCGACGATGCGGGCTCTGAAGGCGAGGAGGGCGTCCCTCTCCACCTCAACGCACCCCTTGGCCGACGCCGTGGTTGTGAGCACGAAGAGCAGCAGAATGCTGGTGAGCCAGACGCGTGTGCTTCTCCTTGGAGTAGCCATCTTTGACTGGTGAATGGCTACTACCTTATGGAGGAATTGCAGACGATGAAGGGCATGTATATATGCGACACAGAAGGCGTCGTAACTGTTAGGCAAAGGTCACACCTCGCATGTGAACAGCCACTGGGTCTACAGGACCGCATCTCATCCGTCCATTAGAGTTTGAGATGACATCAAGGGAAAGGTGAGACGTAGGATTGCAATTATCTGTACGGATAAGAGAGACCCCCATTTGGTGTAGTGGGCCTTACTACGTGGAAGATGGCCGATGTGACCTGACAAGTTTCAAGGTCACGGACGTGGCGGACGGGCAATGGCCCAGGAAATGTTGGGTGTCCCATCCGAAGACCAAGAGAAATTTCCGTATCGCCACTTGGAATTAGTCCAACCTCCTTTTGATTTTTCTTTGTCGAATTGTATCTTTCTTGCTTACCTAATAAGTAACGCAAGATGATAAATAAAAATGTAACATAAAAAAATAAAAAGAAAAAGAAATAGTGATGTTGTTGAAGAGTTCTGCGTGCCCTACACAGATAATTCAACGAGGATGGAAATAAATGTTACTTAATTATGCTTTATTGATAAAGACATTTTGAAAACGTGTGGTTCCATTAGCTCTTCGTCCTCCATTATTCGTTCCGCTCAAAATCTATAGTCTTTTAACTATTAGAATTAGAATCGAGTCGGTGAGTAAAAAGTAACGAGTTCGATAAGAAAGGAGGGTGAATTAATACAATGAATAAAAACGTTAATTTTGAAAATCTAGTTCGATAAAATTATTTCGATAAAGTGAGTTTAACTTTGAAAGCAGAAGGGTATGTAGCAAAAGTAACGAGGAAGTAAAGTAGTTTACAATAAATATAAACAGCAAAACAGAAATACATGGTTTGGTCGTCATGATCTACATTCACTCCACCAATTTTTCTTTTGTTGAGGCCACCAACATCCATTAATAATCTTCCTGCTAGTCATAGGTGCCCAGCAAGCCAATCACGTGAGTGATGGCATGTGTTACTTGACACGCAATCGTTTTACTTATTATATTTTGATATTTTATCACTTTATATTGACTATTATATATATATATATATATATATATATATATA